CTGACGTGTTGCGCGCATTTCACCAATTGAAGCAGCCGTGAATCCAGTTGGAGTCGTCATTCAGCTCTCCGTACCACTCAAAGATGCCTAGACAGGTCGCTCATTGCTTGGTGGGCATGTGTGTGTGGCGGGGGAGGGGGGGGGCATGTGTGGGGCCCAACCGTTCGATCGAGCCAGGCCAGCGCACTCGTACGGATCGAGCACCTCCTTGTACCCAGGCGGGCATGCCACGTCAGGGTAGGTGAGCGTCTTGCTCTCGGAGCCGTACTTCGTCACGCTTGGCCATTCGTTGTCGCACGTGCATGCGCCTGTGTCTGAGAGCGCCATGAATTGGTACCCTGAGCACGCTTCCGAGCAGCTGGCGACATCCTCTTTGTCCGTCGACCCTGCCGGCAGCGAGCCGTAGCGCAGCGCTCGCTCCTTCCGTGCGATCTCGCAGCACCATATCTTGTCGATCCCGTACCAATCGTCAGTATCAGAATCGTCCTTGAACATCCCCGCCAGCACCATGTTCTTGGGGCACCACGTCCACCCAGTAAAATACCCCAGAGAGTCGTAAGAAGAAGTGTCAACATCCACGCAGTTCGTCGTCGCGTACTGCTGGTAGACGCTGTTCGTGTTGCCGACGTCGTAGCTGCAGCACTTGAATGACTCGAGGTTGTGCCTGTGGCAAGGGGAGAGGGCTCTCAGTCCTGCGGGCCTTGCTTTTCGTTCGTCGCTCCTCGGAGAAGCGCTCACAGGTCGTTGCCATCCGTGCGATACAACCCATTGATGTATGAGCTGGACGCGCATTTGAAGTAGTAGTCACCCTCTCCATTGTCGAACTTACCCCATACATCGCCTTCAGTGCAACTTCCCGTGTCCGGTTCAAAGTATGCGACAGGGCAGCAGCGTGCCTTTTCGAGACAGTAAAGCTCGTTGCAGTCGCTGAAGTACAAGCCAACGATTGCATAGCCGTCTGCGCACTCGCTCCAGCCAGCACTGTTGAATGAGTCCCACCAATTGGCGTCGTAGCAGCCGTCGCCTTCTCCGGAGCCGTGCAGACCGCACTGGTCCTTCGATTCGTCGACTACGGACTTGATGTCGCACTGCCATAGGTCGCCACTTGGATTGTTGGCCCAATAGTCGCCATTCCACATGCACGGCTCGCCTTCGTAGACTGTTCGCCCGTCGACGAAGCCGCAGCAGCTCTCCTTGGTCGTCATCTGATAGCAGCCCGTGCCGCTGGGCAGCATATTGGACGCAGTCACGCATATCTTGTGGCCGCCAATCTTGCCCGTGGTGGACGGTGCGCCGCACTGGCACTTCTTGACAACGCCATACGCAGGGTCGCCAAAGTTGTCGTTGTTGCACGATTGCGAACCGTCCTTTTTGTACCAGCTCGAGCCGCTGCCGTAGCGAGTCGTGCCGTCGGGACAGTCGCAGTACCCACCCTCCGTGGCACAATCAGACCATTCGAGCCGCTCGTTCCAATACACCTTCTTGCTCGACCACTGAGCCTGCCAAGCGGTCCCAGAGTACCACTCGAAGCAGCCGTGAATCCAGTTGGCGTCGTTGCTCAGCTTGCTGACCCACTCAAGGCCTATACATAATGACAGGTCATATGACGCGCGTGCTGGGAATAGCTCGGGGGGCGAGAGAGAATTCACCAGTCGAGAGAGCGAGGCTCTCGCACTCGGCCGCATCGTGCACGTCTCTGAAGCCGGTCGGGCATTCCTTTGTCGGACCATCGGGGTAGGATTGTTCGGGGTACGTGAGGATCGAGAAGTAGTCCCAGTACGAGCCGCGAGCGCTGGGGAGCTTCTTCTCCGGGTAGACTTCGAAAGACATCACGGTCCCATCCGGGCAGGATTGTTCCGTGCCGCACGTCAATTCCTGGCCGGCAAGCTTGTTCCACGCAACGAGACCGGTGTCCAGGTCGACGTCGCCAGCTTTGAAGTTGAGGAGTGGAGGTGGCGGCGGAGGCGGACGCGCGGCCCCGCCGCTGCTGGAGTCAACGTAGAGCTGGCACGGGAAGCGCCCATTCTTCTGCACCGAGACGTCCAGGCTCGACGAGGAGGCGGAGACGCGGCCCGAGTACAGCACGCACTCGGCGCCACACTTGTCGCTGGCGCTCACCTTGAACACTGTGATGTCCCACTCATCCTGCGATCCGGCGGGCGGGTCGCCGCACGACGAGGTCGGCTCGAGGAGCGCGATGTTCTTGAGGTCCCACACGGCGGCAGAGAGCACGTCAACGGCGGTGTACGCCTTGTCGCCAAGCACAACGCCGTCCTCTCCGATCTCAACGGCGCCGTGGTCTGGCGACTTGGTGTAGGCGACCGAGGTCTCCGGATGGAACTGGAACTTGATGTCCGCGACAAAGGTGCCCGACTGGTCGGCGTCGGACTCGGCGGCGACCGTTTCCGACTTGGGAGTGACGGAGAGGTCGGAGCAGATGCCGGCCGCGGCGACCAGCCACGACGCCGTGAGGTCGATAACCGGTTCGATGTCAGGGAGGGGAGCGAAGGCTAGCTGACGCTCCGTCGGCTGCATGTGCATGTTCGTCATCAGAGGCGTTGGCGCCAGACGCCGCCGGAGGCTGCGCCGCGCCTGGTCGGAGAAGGTGTGCGACTCGACGAAGAGCTGGCAGAGGAACCGGCCCTCCTTGCGCGCCACAAAGTTGTCCGACGCGCCCGAGACGAGGCCGGAGAAGTGCACGCACTCCTCGCCGCACGCCTCGTTGCCGGTCACCTTGAAGACGCTCACGGCCCACTCGTCCTGCGACCCGGCGGGCGGGTCGTCGCACGAGGAGGTCGGCTCGAGGAGCGCGATGTTCTTGTTGGTCCAAGTGCCCGCGGCGAGCACGTCGGTCTGGCTGTACTCCTCGCCGCGGATCTCGATGCCGTCCTCGAGCGAGGCGGCCTGGTGGAACGGGGCGTCGGTGAAGGCGACCGACACCTCGGGGTGGAACTTGAAGTCGATGCTGCCGTCAGGCGCAGAGGAAAAGTCGGAGCAGAAGCCCGACGCGGCGACGAGCCAGTCCGGATCGTCGACTGGGTTGGGCACCGGCGGCCGCGACGCGAAGGTCGGGACGCGGCCGTCCGGCGCATGGAAGAGGAGGTCAGGCGCGGCACCGGCGAGGCGGGCGAAGGCGAGGAGCCACCAGGCCCTCATCCCGACTGGCCGCCGCCTCGCGTCCACGGTGGTGGTCCGCGAGCGCGAGCGTGGGCAGCACGGACAAGGCGATGCTCCCCCCAGGAGTTGTTCCCCTCGTCGTTGTCCACATCAAACGTGGGCACGTATTTCTTCAAACGCAGAAACCTCCAGGAAAACCGGGCGCGACGCAATCAAGGTCGGGGCTTCTTTTTTCAATACGGCGAAACGAAGGACGAAGGTGTGTGTGTGGGGGGGGGGGGGTAGGAAGGAGGTTGACAAGGTGAGAGCCGTAGACAGGCAACACACCAAACAACAAATGCTGCTAAAAATCTCTCTCTCTAGACAGGAGTGCAGCGCGCCATCTTCAAGCAGATGTGCGACGTAGCGATCGGCAGCGTCGGCGGCTTCAATCAAGCGCTCACACCCGCGCTACGTCGCCGAGGGGTATTAATTGCAGGCCCAGCCATTGCCCCCAGTGGCTTCCCTCAATCGCAAAGTGCATAAATTCTTTTTGAGAGCGCCTTCGTTGTTAATAATACAAGCCCAATGGTCCCTTTCGAGCGGTCCCCTGTCGCAGTCGCACACACGCACACGCCGCACCGCACCGCGCGCCCGCCCGCTGCCCCGCCCAGGCGGGAAAGAGATGAGGAGATGGGACAGCAAAGGAGGAGGCACAAACACGTATGGGAGGGTTCAGTTGTGCGCCACGCTGCCCGGCGTTTCTCACTTTTCGGGACAGCCCCGCCCTTTTGAGGCAGGAAAGTGTGTGTGTGTGTGTGTGACTCACACACACACACACATACTCACGCCCCCGCCCCTTCTGCCCCTCGCTCACACCCCGGCCCGACACGCACATACAAGACAAACCCGGCGTCCTGCTCTCAAAAGAAAAGAAAAAATGGGAAGGAGGAGACCAGCGGGGGAGACTCCCCGCCTATGCAACACCCCGGGGCTGCCATCGCCGAAGCTGTGCCTAAGCATAACTCCCAAACCCGCAGCGGCCCGGGGGGCCTTGGGGGCAGCCTGCCGGACCGCTGTTGCACGGGGCTAAGCACCAGATTCTTTTTCCTGTCGTGGATAGAGCGGAAGATGGACCGCGCTATCTTTCGTTCAACAGAGGCTGCGCTCTCGCCATTTCCCTCTCTCCCCTCGTCGCCGTCGCCATCGTCGCTGTCTCCCTCGCCGTCACCTGACTCATCCCTGCCCCCGTCCCCACCGTGCACCGACGTCGCTAGCTCTTAGCATGAGCTGCGCCCTGTGTCCGACCCCTTTTGCGCAGCAACACCTTAAACTTTTACGCCCTCCAAATTCGGGTCGGAGCGTAGGGCGTACAGTTCCGGACGGGCATTAAGAACCTCTAACGTTAAGAACCTGAGGCTCATATTTCGGCCGGATCCCTAAGAACTCCCTAAGAACCTGAGGCTGGGCCAACGCCTGCAGCCGGCGCCCCTGCCCCCGCGGCCGCAGCCGCAGGGGCAGCTCACGGCAGCGAATGACTCTCTTGTCACGCCATGCGCGAACTTACTGTTCCAAACTTCCAAACTGTTTTAAGACCCATTTATTGATTTTTAATCGAAGCCGAAACGGTTTAAAAAACCATCCACCCGGTTAAGAACCTGAGGCTCGGCCCCCGACGGACCGCCGACTTAGCTAAGAACCTGAGGCTGGGCGAAGAACCTGTGCGTTCTTAATGCCCGTCCGGAACTGTAGCGGAGTGGGCCCCGAGTTTGAAAAGGGCGACGGACGCTTGCGTCCTAGCCTCCACCAACACCTCCGTGAGGGCCACCCAACGCGGCCAAAGGATATCCACCTCGAGACCTCGAGAGTGAGCGCCCTCGCGTTATTTCCCTTCGCCATGGACGATGTCAAACGCAGTCGTCGAGGGCTGGCTTCAGCGAGCGCCGCCGTCGATCCGTGACGCCTCGCTCCGTGCGCAGCTCGAGCACGTCGTCACGCAGAGTCGCGAGGCGTGTGTGGACGCGCTGCGGAAGCTCGAAAACGCACAGGAGGAGCTTGCCTTCTGTGCATTCTGGCAGTCGGTGCTGCAGGAGCGCATCGAGGCGCTGCCATCCGAGCTTCCCAGCTACGCTCGGAGCCTCAACGAGCAGCAGCGCCGCGCTGCTCTCGCGCCAATCGACGCGCCGCTCCTCGTTCTGGCGGGCGCCGGCTCCGGAAAGACAGGCGTGATGGCGGCCCGCGTCCAGCACATCCTCGCCTCGGGCGTGCCGCCCGCGTCGGTGCTGGCGCTCACCTTCACGCGCGCAGCGGAGACGGCGATCCGAGAGCGGCTGACCGCCTCTGTGGGCGTCCGCGTGGCAAAGGCGCTGCGCGTCGCCACCTTCCACTCGCTCGCGCTCTCCATCTGCCGCGAGTTCGCCGCCGCGCTCGAAGGCGGCACCGCCGACTTTGCGCTGGTGACGGGCGCGCAGCAAGTGCGCCTCGTCACCCGCGCCCTCGTAGAGTACCGCATCGCACGCGCCGCCCGCCCCTCCTCCTCCTCCTCCTCCTCCGGCTCCTCCTCCCCCGACGCGCCCGACGCGAGCCGCGCGCTGCGCGCGCTGCTGCACGCAAAGGCGCGGGGCGGGCGGGCGGAGGGGGTGGCGGACGAGGCACTACGCTTCGTGTGGGACAAGTACGACGCGTGGCAGCGCGAGCGAAACGGCCTCGACATGGTCGACCTCGTCCGGGTGGCTGCGGAGGTGGTTCGGACGGTGCCGGCGGCGCGCGGCCAGCTGCGCCAAAGGCACAGCCACATCCTGGCGGCGGTGCTCAGGGGCGAGACGTAGAGCTGTGCACGGCGTCTCTTCACAGCTGCGGCCGTGAACAGGTGGACGAGTTCCAAGACACCAACCCGCTGCAGATGGCGCTGCTGGCGCTACTCGCGCCTGCCGAGCCCGGCCGCGTCACCGCCGTCGGCGACGACGACCAGTGCATCTACGCCTTCCAGGGCGCGCAGGGCGCCGCCGCCCTCCGCGCCTTCCTCGCCGCCTTCCCTCGTGCGGAGAGGGTGACTCTCGAGCAAAACTACCGCTCGAGCGGGACGCTGGTGGCTGCGGCGGCGGCAGTCGCGGCGTGCAACAGGCGCCGCTGCGCCAAGCGCGCCTTCACGAGCAACGGCGCCGGCGAGAAGGCGCAGCTCGTCGAGTTCCCCATACCTCTCCATATCTCTACATATCTCCCCATGTCTCCCCATATCTCCCCATATCTCCCCATACCTCCCCATATCTCCCCATATCTCCCCATGTCTCCCCATATCTCCCCATATCTCCCCATATCTCCGGCGAGAAGGTGCAGCTCGTCGAGTGCACCTCTGTGCGAGGAGAGACGGAGCACGTCGTGCAGACGGCGAGACTAGCCGAGAGGAGCCGGGAGGAGCCGAGAGGAGCCGAGAGGAGCCGAGAGGAGCCGAGAGGAGGCCGAGAGGAGCCGAGAGGAGCCGAGAGGAGCCGAGAGATTAGCCGAGATTGGCCGGCATCGGGCGAGCTTAGCCGAGATTGGGCGAGCCGGAGCACGTCGTGTGGACGGCCCGCTCGATGGTCGGGAGCCTTCCCGGAACCTTCCCGGAACCCTCCCGGAGCCCTCCCGGTAGGTCCGCTCGCTGGTTGCGGCGGGCTCGCCTCTCGCCAGCATCGCCATCCTCTACCGCAAGCAGCGGTGCGGTGCGGAGATGCAGGCGGCGCTGCTGGCCGCCTCTGTCCCCTTCAACACGCGCCGGAGCAACTTTTGGCGCTCGCGGCATGTGCAGGGCGTCGTCGGCCTCCTCGCCTTCCTCCTCCGCCCACACGACGATGCGGCCTTCGTGGCGGCGATCGAAGTGCTGCACGAGACACCGCCCTCCTCCCGCGCCTCCGCCTCCGCCGCCACCGCCGCCGCCACCGCCGCCGCCGCCACCGCCGCCGCCGCCGCTGCCTCCTCCGCCTCCGCCTCCGCCGCCGCCGCCACCGCCGCCGCCGCCACCGCCGCCGCCGCCGCTGCCTCCTCCGCCTCCGCCTCCGCCGCCTCCGCCGCCGCCTCCACCGCCGCCGCTGCCTCCACCACCGCCATCGCCGCCCCCTCCTCCGCCTCCTCTGCCCCTGCCCAGCTGAGCGAATCGCAGCGCGCGAGGATGGAGGCCTCCAAGGCGGCGGGGACTGCGCGTCGGCCGTGAGTCACTCATCACTCCCAACTGACTGCCTCAATTCATGACGCAGGCGGCCGCGCTGGCGCGGCGGCAGTCCGGTGGCAGAGGCCCCTCGCAGCTGCCCCCAACAGCAACCTGCTCCGCCTCCGCCGCCGCTCCCGCCGCCGCCGCTCCCGTCGCTGCACCCGCCGCCGCTGCTCCCGCCGCCGCTACTCCCGCTGCCGCCGCTGCCGCTGCCCCGCCCGCCGCCGCTGCCGCTGCCGCTGCCCCGCCCGCCTCCGCTGCCGCCGCTGCCGCCGCTCGCTCCACCGCCGCTTCCTCCTCCTCGGCCGTTTCCGCCCCCCTCGCCACCGCCGACGACCTCGTCGCCGCCCTCCGGCGTGCGCGCGACGCCGCGCAGTGCCATCGCCCCATCGCCGCCACGCCCGCCGCCGCCGCCCCCTCCGCCCCCGCCGCTGCGCCCTGCTGTCCGCCGCCGCTGGCCTCGCTCTGGGAGACGGCGGTGGGGGAGACGGCGGCGGGGGAGGCGGCGCAGGCGGCGGGGAGGGGGGCGGGGACCCGCGTCCCGGCGGCGAAGCGTCGCAAGTCGGGATCGGCGGCGGGCGGCAAGGAAAAGGGCGGCAGGGAGAAGGGCGGCAGGGAGAAGGGCGGCAAGGAGAACGCCGCCTCCGCGCCAGCGGGGGAGAGTGGTGGGGGCGGCGGGGCGGCGGAGAAGGAGGGGGGCGGCGGCCTCTCTCCGCCGCAGCTGCAGGCGCTTCGCCGTGTTGTCAAGGCACTCGAGCGGCCGCTGCGCCGTCTAGGGACCGAGCCTCTTTGAGAAGTGTAAAGCAGCTCAGTCATTGTTAGGCACTCGAGCGGCTGCTGCGCCGGCTCGGCACGCTGCAGCTGCCCGCCCTGGTGCAGCAGCTGCGCGGAGGCGGTGCGGCTGACGAGCCATGGACTCTCGTGACTCATGACTCCGCGCATGCGCACACTACAGGTGCAGCGCTGTGCGGAGGCGGTGCCTGGCGCGCACGGGGCGCTGCACGCGCCGCCGTCGTCTCGCCGCGGTTCCCCGCTCCTCCACGGGCGTGAGGAGGAGGAAGGAGCAAGCAGGCCCTCCTCACGGCTGCACGCGGCTGTGAGCAGGCTCCTAACTAGTTAATTATTAATTCAATCATTCTTAATTATCAATTAAAGAGCGGCTGTGAATAGGCTCCACCCTAATTAATGATCAATGATCAGTTCTCAGCTATCAGCTAAAGAGCGGCTGTGAGCAGGCTCCACCCTCCTCAACGAGCCAGAGGAGCAGCGCTCTCTCCTCGCCCTGCTGCTCACCGAGGCGGAGGAGGCGGACAGGGAGAGCCGCGCCGCCGACCAGGCGACGCCGCACCACCCCCCGGCGGCGCCTCAGGGAAGCTGCGTGCCGGTTGGCGGCAGTTCACAGAGGCTCTTCACAGCGGCGGGCGGCGCGTCGTGGGGCGACGCGCTCGCGACGCGCGCGCGCAGCCGGCTGCGCGCGCTCCTCGACAGGCTCGAGATCTCGCCGAGACCGTCGCCGAGATGTCGCCGAGATGTCGCCGAGAATGCAGCACTTCGCCGGCCGTCGCCCCGCCGCAGGGCGGTCCTCGGCCCCGGGTGTGAAGAGGCGCTGTTCACGCCCTAGGCTGGAGCTGTTGTCGCTCGAGCAGGACGCGCCCGTCGAGGCCGCCGCGCCACGTCCACGAGACACGTCCGCGACACGTCCGCGACACGTCCCGAGCAGGATGCGGCCGCCGAAGAGGCGGCACGCGACGTGCGCTTCTCCCCTTCCCTCGGCTCTCTGCACAGGGCTGCAAGCCGTGACCTACGAGCGGTGCAATGCTCAACTAGGCGCTCACTCTCTGCACGATCCACGGCTCGAAGGGTCTCGAGTGGCGCCGCCGCCATCGCCGGGGAGGCTGCCGTGAGCGGCGCCTCTTCCACCCCTCGTATGTGTGCGAGCAGGCGCCGCGCGCCCTCGTCGTGCCGAGCGGATGCTGTGAACGGCGCCTCTTCACGGCTGCAGCTGTGAACAGGCCCACCGTCCTCGTCGTGCGGATGAACGAGGGGGAGTGCCCCAGCAGCGCCGCACTGACGGCCGACGGAGGCGGCGGCACGGGCGAGGCTATCCAAGACTAGTTCTCCCCCCTGGGCCAGTCTTGCCTAGCTGTGAGCAGGCGGCGGCGGCACGGACGAGGCGCTCGAGGACGAGAGGAGGCTGGCGTACGTCGCTTTCTCGCGCGCCAAGGCGGCTGGCGGCGGGATTGGGACCCCCCCCCCCTCCCCCTCCCTCCCCTGCCTCTCTGCCACGCCCGCATCGCAGTGTCTCCTTCACACAAAAGCACAACCCGGGTAAGTCTCCTTCACGCCGCTACGCCCTGGAGTCAGGCGCGGCTGATCCTCTCGTTTGTCGCCACGGAGCCGAGCGGCGCGCCGGCGACGCCGTCGCGTTTCCTGGGCGAGATCCCGGCGGCGCTGACCGTGCGCGACTCGCAGCTGCGCTGAACGGGGCGAGGGAGGAGACAGGGAAGAGAGAGTCTAGAGAGGCAGTCACTGGCGGACTTTTTGTCCAACATCGAGAATTGAGGACCCACGAGTCCACGGTGCCAAGGGAGATTCGGCAGCTACACTTGTTCATCGCGTCGTCCGACCGTCTCGCGAGCGCGACGACTCTCCTCACAGGCCAGCGACCTATCGCTAGTACACTCGCATCATGGAAGTGGTGTACGAACTCCCGCAAGTGCTATTAGCACAAAAAATCACAGAAAATTCACAAGCGCTCGCGGAGCCGCCGGCGCCGCGAGCCACGCGTCCCCACGCACCACGCAGCGGCAGCCCTGTTCTCAGGTAGGACGGGAACGAGATGATAGTAGGGAGTAGAAGAAAGCAAAGAGGAGCCTGCGCACGCACGACTCCGCAGGAGAAGCCCCTCCCCAGACAAAACACAAGGGAGAGGTGGGTGGGTCACAGAAAACTGCGGCCGCCAGCGACTGTGGGCGTCCCGCTGGCGGACGGGAGGAGGAACACAAAGGGACGTCCGGACGTCCATCCACTGGGATGAGAGTACTGGAGACCTGAGGTCGAATCTGCCGATTCCACAGCCGCCCACAGGAGCGCCGCCTCAACACGGGGTCTCGGCTCTATCGAGCCATGCTAGCTCCAGCCGCAGCCCCACCCGGCCGCCCGAGGGGGTGTTCCCGCAGGCAGAGAAGACCAATCCTGGGGGAAGTAACCTTCACTCTGGTAGGACGGGAACGAGATGAGAGTAGGGAGTAGAAGAAAGCAAAGAGGAGCCCTGCGCACGCACGACTCCGCAGGAGAAGCCCCTCCCGCCCGTGCTTGCGCAGCGCAGCCTCCTCCTCCCTAGGTAGCGCCTCCTTTGGCTGGCCCGAGCTGTCGGTGACGAGGCACCACGTGAGGTAGTTGGGGAGCTCTACCTTGCAGTGCGCAATCTTGGCAAGAACCGGATTGCGGGAAGCCTCGTGACCCCCCGGGCCCAACAGCACACGCAGGATGAGGTCGCAGCCCGACGCGAAGGCCGCCGCCAGGATCTGGCGCCGTCCTTCGTCTGACTGTGCGTCCGCGCCGCTTCGACGCTGACTCGCTCATCGTTCGCTTCACCGACAAGTGGGGAAGGGAGCACGAGCTCGTCTGCCTCGAGCCCAAGGACGGCAGTCCAACTGCGAGCAGGTCGAGGCACAGATGGAGAACGGCATCCGCGTCAACCCCGACCTGCAGGCCACGTATGCGGCCGGCAACACCGGGACTGTGACCATGTCGCAGCTCGAGAACGGCCTCGTCGACTCCGACGACGACGAGGAGGGGCTGGCGCTCGACGCGGCTGAAGACGCGGCGCGCGGGGTTGAGGGCGCCAGCAGAGTAGCTCGCACCGATCTCACCGCTTGTCTTCTGCCGGACACGGACACTGGTGTGTTGGCCATAAAGAGGAGCGCAGATTAAAATGGCGCCGCAGGCTCCCCGGGCCCCAAATCTCAATCTCAAATCTCAATCTCAAATCTCAGACCCAATCTCCCGGGCCCCAAATCTCAATCTCAAATCTCAATCTCAAATCTCAGACCTCAGACCTCAATCTCCCTGCAGGTCAAACCCACCCAACCCTTCTAGAAGCTTCGAGGCTCTTGTCAGTATTCACACCGCAAATCTCCAAATCTCAGCTCTGAAATCTCTAGGTTGGAAGGCCGTCCAAATCTTCAGTCTCAAATCTTGGATCTCGAGCGAACTCGACCGTGCAGATTCCTTTTGGTGTGGGAAATCTCATTCTCCAAGTCTCTGGTCTCTTAATCTCAAAGTCTCCCACCGGAGGCCGAGTGACTGAGGTCTTAAGTCTCAAATCTCTGGTCTCAAATCTCTGGGTAGCACTGTAGACCCGAGTGGAGTCTTTCAAATCTTTAAGCTCTCAATCTCTAAAAAAGACTAGAGATTACCATTACCCCGCGCCACCGCGCCCGCGGGGGCGTGACGTCTGTAGCGAGGCGACGGTGGGACGGTGTCCGACCCGTTCTGGGGTTTTCATATAATGCGGCTCTACTCGTATCGACCAATAAAATACCGGGGGAGGCCTGCGCAGCCTCTAACTATTATAGAGCGCCACAAAACACGCGCACCGCGTCACAAACACTGGTTAGGTGTTTTACCCCCCGCGGCCGATCCCCGCGAGGCGTCCCCCTACTTACACCACGGTGATGCCAAGAGCAACCCGCGCCGCCGTGAACGGCGCGGCCGCCTCCCACGCGTTCGTCACGGGATCGTATCGCTCGACCGAGCTGTGGCCGTTGACGCGGTTGTGGCCGCCCACAGCGGCCGACTACACGGTAAGGCATACGGACCTTGCAGAAAACCTTTTCCTTCTAAGCAGGGCTACACAATGACCCTATAGTGTGTGGGTGTTCCTGGCGAGTTGTGATGAGTAGAATTAGACTAGCCAATACTATTTTGAAGTTCATATATGAAAATACCAACTTGCCTATGTGCACGTCTCCGCCGCGGCGGCCCGGAGGCGGCCCGGCGGAGCGGTCAGAGCAGCACTGCGCGGGCCGGCGATCGACTCTCGACTATAGTACGGGCTCTATTGAATGGCCTCAAGGTGCTCTCTAGGGCTGCCCTATTCCGCTCGCCCGGCTACGTCGCCGGGCTTCGAAGGAAAAGGTTTCGCTCGGCACGGCGTCGGAGAGCAAACTTCGACGTTCGTCCTATAGTGGAAGCCGGACGCACGTAGGCAAGTGGCCCATGACCAGGCGGGCTGCTGCTCAGAATCTGGGCCGTCGGCGCTCGCTCTCGCGCTCTTCATAACGGCGTTGCCCCCTCCCTCCCGCGCCGACGTTGGGCAGCCCGACCACGACAACGTCAGCGCCGCTGGCCTGCAACTCGAGGCGCCTTTGAATGAGCACGAGCCGGTGCGCGGCGGCGGCGCGGGTGATGCAGCCCAAGGTGACGGCGACGGCAGAGGGGGCGGCGCCGGCGGCGGAGGAGGCGGCAGCGGCGGCGATGGCCGCGGGGTCGGCCCGCCCGCCTTTGCTGCTGGTGCTGTGGGCATCATCACAGCTCAGCGGCGGCGCCGGCGGTGTGCGACCAGGGCCAGTGGTAGACTTTCGACGCGGTGAGGCTGCTCTCTGAGCAATGACACTAGCAAGAGCATCATGTGTGTCATCGGAGTCACTTGTATTACGATACCACCACGCCGCCACGCTCGCAAGGGCCGCCTAAGCGCCTAAGCACCCTAAGCACCCCCCCGCTTAGGCCGCTTAGGCGCTTAGGCGAGTGACGGCCGGCTGCCCGGGGCCTGGCGTGCCTCCGCCGTGGGCTGAGCGCCCGGGAGAGCCACTCTGCAAGTGGTGTGCGAGCGTGTAGCCTTTAGCGTGCAGTCGGCCAGCATACAGCTTGCCGTCGAGCACCGCCACGGCGGCAAGAGTCCGTGCCGCCGCCATCGGCGCCACCCCCTCCCACGCATTCGTCGCCGGATCGTACCGCTCGACCGAGCTGAGAGAGTCTTCGTCGTCGCCGTTGAACCCGCCCACAGCGTACAGCTTGCCATCGAGCACCGCCACGGCGTGAGCCTGCCGCTCCTCCGCCATCGGCGCCACCGCCTCCCACGCGTTCGTCGCCGGGTCGTACCGCTCGACTGAGCTGAGGACGTCGTCAACGTCGTTGACGCCGCCCACAGCATACAGCTTGCCGTCCAGCACCGCCACGGCGGGAGCAAACCGCTCGACCGCCATCGGCGCCACCGCCTCCCATCCTTTCGTAGCCAAGTCGTACCGCTCGACCGAGCTGAGGACATTAATTGGACCGTAGTCGTCGTTGTAGCCGCCCGCCACGTAGAGCTTGCCGTCGAGCACCGCCATGCCTGCATTCCCCCGCGCCGTCAGCATCGGCGCCACCGCTTCCTCCTCCCACTCATTCCTGGAAGGGTCGTTCCGCTCCAGCGAGCTGATGACGCGTCCAGTGTTGCCTTCACCGCTGATCACGAGCAGGCGCGGCCTCTCGCGCTTCGGCAGCGTCTCCTTCCATCCGCGGCGCCACGCGCGGCACGTCCCCTTGACGGCGTGCTCCTTGATCGGCAGCTGGGCGAGGATGTGCGGGGCGAGGTCCGGCGAGAGGAGGACCTCGGAGAGGACCCACTCGGGCTGCTCCACGAGCCGAGCGGCGTGCTCCTCCGCCACGCGCATTGCGGCGGCGCTCCAGAGAGGCGCCTGCTCGTCGATGAAGGCGACGAGCTGCTCTGGCGAGAGGCCAGTCAGGCGGGCGCCGATGCGGTGGGAGGCCATCGAGGGAGGCTCACTGGGGTCCGCGGTCAGCGGGCGCAGCTGTGATTTCTTTTCGCCGGATTCTATTCTAAATATCGCAACACTAAGCGCCAGGTCGGTTTTTGGTATCGGCTGCCCCCGGGGGCGAAAAAGGGTTTTTCTTTTTGCTGATTTTTACAAGATAAAAGACCAACTCAAGACGGGGTGAGGGGTAGGTTTGGGCCCTTGGGGGTTTCCTCTCTTCAGGCAGCCGGAAATTTCACAGCCACGGGAAGGGAATTCGGCGAAAAAAATTTTACTGGTGGGGGCGCGAGTGTACTTCCGATCCACTAGGTATACCCGCAAAATCCCCGGTATTTTGCCGATTTGGCTGATTTTGGGCCCAAACCAGCCTCAGACTCGGCTCAGAGCCCGGAAAATTTGATGGTTTTCCCGGGAAAATAGAGAGGAAAAGAGAGGGTGCTGCAGAGAAAAAAGGAAAGGAAAAGAGACGGGGTGCGAGAGGCAAACCTTGTTCAGCCTAAGTGACGGTCGGCCGTCAGAAACCACGCCTGCGTGGATCGCGTCACACCAATTCTCGCTACCCAACGCGGCCAAAGGATATATCCACCTCGAGAACCTCGAGAACAAGGGGTATAGTGCAGATGCACCGCATTCGGATTTTCGCTATTTGGTCGTGTGGGGGTCAAATATATGCACCGCGTCGGCGACGCGGGCGCCTTGCGGGCAGAGCCCTGAGCCACCCTTGCGCGGTCATAATCTCTCTCTGAGGTGTATGGAGCTCTTCTCCGCGCTCGCCGCGAACAATCTGGCCGCCCTGTCGCTCGCCCTCAGCGCAACCGACGCCGAAGCACGCGACGCACACGGCGTGCCAGCTCTCCTACACGCTACGAGCCCTCGCGCGGCCGCCGCACTCCTCACCGCCGGCGCCGACGCGAACGCTGTCGACCCTCGCGGCACGTCGGCGCTGCACTGCGCGGCGACGCGCGGCAGCGCAGAGATCGTCCGGCTGCTGCTCGACGCCTCTGCAGCCGCCGACGCCGCCGACGCCGCCGGCGTGACTCCGCTCATGTCTGCGAGCCTGCACGGCCACACCGAGGCGAGAGAGAGAGAGGACGGAGAGAGTCGCCACTGACACGTGACGCCCTCCGCGTCCGAGTTGGTCTACCCTCCGATCCGCTCGCTCCCCGCCGGCCAGGTCCTCCGTGACCTCCTCGCAGCGCGTGCGGACCCCAACGCTGCGGACGGCGGCGGAGGCACCATATCGCCAGATGCGAGCTGCCACCTCGACCCGGCCTAGCCCCGACCCTGACCCGAACCCCCTAACCCTAGGCACCGCGCTGATGCGGGCCTGCTCTCGCGGGCACGAGGGCGCGGCGTCTCTCCTCCTCGATGCCGACGCCGACGCCGCCGCCACCGACCAGGACGACGGGCAGACGGCGCTGCATGCGGCGGCCGAGGCGGCGGCGGCATCGCGGCGGCGTCTCTCTGCTCACACCTCGCCTGTCTTGGCCACACGTCGAGCTGTGGACAGGCGGGGCACCGAGGCGTCGTCTCTCTGCTGGTGCGACGTGGCGCCGACGCATCCGCCACCGACGGCCGAGAGGAGCCGAGATCAGCCGAGATCAGCCGAGAGGAGCCGAGAGGAGGCCGAGGGGAGCCGAGAGGAGGCCGAGAGGAGGCCGAGAGGAGGCCGAGAGGAGGCCGAGAGGAGCCGCTGCCACCGCCGGGCCGGACGCCCCCTCGGTCTGAAGAGCTGCTCCGTGACGAACCCACCCTCCCCTACCCCACGGTACCCGAACCCACCCTCCCCTACCCCACGGTACCCGAACCCACCCTCCCCTACCCCACGGTACCCGAACCCACCCTCCCCTACCCCACGGTACCCGAACCCACCCTCCCCTACCCCACGGTACCCGAACCCACCCTCCCCTACCCCACGGTACCCGAACCCACCCTGCCCCTACCCCACGGTACCCGAACCCACCCTCGCTAGCCCCACGGTACCCGAACCCACCCTCCCCTACCCCACGGTACCCGAACCCACCAGCGGCTCCGTGACGAGCCACTTGGTTTGAGCTCATGGACGCCGTGGGTAGGGGCGGGGCGTACGCCGCTCGTCGCGGCGGCAGAGGCGCTCAAGGCGCGAGGGGAGGAGGGACGGAGGCGTACGGCGAGATTGGCCCGAGATTGGGGGAGATGACGCGAGATTGGGCCGAGGCTTAGGCGCGGGGGACGGAGGCGTATGGCGGTGGCGAGTGGCGGGAGGCGAGCTCCGCGCGTGCGCCGACGCGGCGGTGCTGCGGAGTCGGGTCTGGAAGCGGGGGGGGGTCGTGTGCTCGTAGGCGCTCGGCGTCCGCCGTCGCGG